TACATGTATATTATATAGTTTTAGCGTCCTTGTATCATATTGTATATACACCCGTTGAAGGCTACAGACTGGTAGCCGAAAGCTTGTGATTAATAAATATATTAACCAGAGAACGTCTCATCTTTTTATTAAGGCTGGCCTTGTTGCATGGCAATAAAAAGGCTATTTGTGTACTACCTGTTTAGTGTGAATGTCACTGCAGTCAGCGGTTGTTGTTGACAAACCAACGGCAAAAATTTGACCTGAAAATATAACACAGGATTGGAACTCCTAATATCATGAAATTGTATTTGAAATATTCTCGAAGGCTTCTAGGATTCAACTACCAGAACAATACAAAGCAATTTGAAGACTCCACTAACTACAATTACAAACGTCCAAACGAAAGGCCTTCACATTGAAGTTACAATAAGATCAATTACTTATTTATACATAATCCAATTCCTTAATCTCTCCTCACAACCACTTTCTTTTTTATTTTATTATATCTCGCCCTATAAATCATGTTAGTAATAAAACATGCCAACTCGCTCAAGTCGCCCAAACTTGGGATTTCAACGCCGGTTTTGGTTTCTCACAATTGCACGACAGTTCTAGTGGATACACCTGATGTAAGCTCTCTCAAGACTACCCTTTCCAGCTCGTAACTTTGCTCCTCTGACAATCCCGTCTTCGCCTGTTAGAAGTTGCACAATACAATACAATTTACAATACAATACAATTTTATTCAATAAAATAAAATACATAAGATAGAAATAACATGACCCGCAAATAGCAATAGCTAATCAAAGGCGGGCATGAAATATAAATTTAGACAGTTATAATTTCAATTAGTTGCAGACAATTTTACTGTATATATACGTGCAGAAAAAATAAAAAAAAAAATAAAAAATTAAAGAAATGTATCATTAGCATTGCCTGAAAAAGCATTCTTGACGTTGCCAAGTAAATTCGTTGCCATGCGTGTTGACGTCAGTTCCAGTGGTGGGATTGTGGTATTTCTTTTCGCTAGACGTGATTTCGCTGTTACAAGACTTTGACCGTTCCCAACATGGCCATTGTCGTAGATGAGTGAGCTGCTGTTCTTTGTGGTCTTTTAGAGGCTATTCTATGCAATGTTGTTTTCAAAACTCTTGCACGGGTCTTCAAGAGGTTTGGCAGTCCTGAAAGTAACAGCAACAGTCCGCTGTTCAGTACGAGTAAAAGAACTGGCGGTTTTACATGTTAAGTTCCTGGTTGTTTTACCAACAATAAAAGAAATCCAGAACTATTCAGCCTGCTGTTGTTATTTTCAGGGCTGCATAACCTTTGACGACCCGTGGATAGCCTCTCAAAGACGACAAAGAACAGCAGCACACTCACCCACGGCGGTGGCCATCTTGGATTGTTTTCCCGCTGTGACAAGTAAGACCAGAATTCCCCGCGCGCATCACGCCTTTGACGTCACTATGCACAAGGTCTATTGCACCATCTCTTAATTCTTTAGCTCGTCAACATAAAAATACTCTATCTTTCCACGATTACTCCTCCGAGCAAAAAGGGTGATGGCGCCAATCCGAACAAGGCTAGAGTAAATCTGATGGTTTTTATCTCAGCTTTACTGTTGGGCTTCCAATGGAACCGAAGTGCACCACGGTCTACTTCCTTGATTCTGACTTGCAGAAAGGCCTTCTGCATATCACCGATGGCCGCAACGGGATGAAATCTACCGCGGACCAAAACAATCCATAGCGTCCGACTTTTGATTTCTAGAGTCGCAAGTTACACACATTTGCAGGAGTTTATTTTCTCCGAACGGGTACATGTTACCGTTGGCAAATTCACGATTTTTTCCACATGTATTGGGATTCACAATTTCACTGGTGTTTCCATATTTGTCATCAAGGATTTTCTTCGCATTTTTGTATCCTTCGGTCCTGATGGGCAGTCAATCTATACATGTCTGTATCTTGGGTTCTACTAACTCTTTCAGGTAAGAGAATTTCATCACGTCAGGAATATCGGCCAAATCGATACTCGTAGAAAATTGGCCCCATAGTCGCAACCAGTCGTGGTATCAGCCATTAAAAGGTGCAATTACAAGCTTTGGCAGCTTTGTAGATGAATTTTCCCCTGCTTCAACTTCCTTTTGATACTGTAACTTTTGGTTGAAAAGATCCTGTTGGAACGCAAGCTGTTTATCTCTTTCGCGTTTCCCGAAAGCTTGTTGTCTGGCATAATTTCCCTCGTCTAGTAGTCGTTTATTTCCGTTTTCCAGCGCGCTTTCTTTCCGGCGTTCGTTTGCTTTAAGGCGCTGAATATACTCGTTTAACTGCTTGACTTCCTCGTTGGCCAAAGTCATATGTTTCTCGATCGATTCCCTCCATGGTGCGATATTCTCTTCAGAGTCACCTTTGATAAATTTATTTTTTCTATGAATTGTTTCAGGTCGCTTATAGCCAAAAAATCTTTGTTATTGGATCTTTTGGTCGAATAGCGACTTCTTCATCGTTTGTTTTAAGTTTTCCGGCGTTTTACGTAACTTGCCTTCAATCTCGTCGAGTTGTTATTTTAATGCAATGATATTCGGGATTCCCATGCTCTTCTTCGAGCTAAATTCTCCAGTTAAATTCCGTCGGAAGGTGCCAAGTGTCGTAAATTGCCTCCAAAGAGTCTACGACAATTCTCAATCTCTCTTCACAATCTCTTTCTTTTTTTATTTTTTTAAATCTCGCTTTATAAAACCATAGTTAGTAATAAACATGCCAACTCGCACGCCCGCTCAAGTCACACAAAACCATGTGTTCATTTCACCGGAAATGTCCACGCCCACCCAAATTTAAATAGGGTTCTAACAAATGTTAATATATAATATACCTATTGTGTATATCAACTATTAATCTCCAACAATTTGAGTTCTCGGGGCCAATGTAAGTATTTAAATATAGTTTAATATATAATTCTGCACTAACCTGTGTGATCGACATTCAGTTTTATAATATCAGAGAAATTCGACTGTACCAATGAACACTAAATATAGATAAGATATACATTATTAGAGTCCATCTCCAAATTACATTCCAGTTGTCAACAACAACGATGCAAATTAAGTCAAGGTTTTGTGCTGAATATGCTATCAGCCTCGTTCCCCACAAACATGCTCAAGCCGGCGGGCAGTACGTGGGCCAAGTAATCGTGTAATATATAAGCTTAAGTCGAGTATGTTGTTGTTGGGTAAAACAAAGCCAATATGCAAATAAAATAATCGCAATTTATGGCCCTGAATCTAGTCGTTTTAATCATGTGTATTTTTAAAATCAGCATGCCAAAATATCAAAAGTGCATGTGGGGACATATACTGTACGTGGGGTTCGTAAAATGGGCTCACGTGGTTTGATGTGCAGTTTGATTCCTGAAATATGCAGGTTATAATTTAATGTGTGTATGGATACATATATAAAATACATAACGTATGTGTGTAAACGGAATAAAATAACTTACATGCTAGACAAGCATAGTACGCAATTAGGCTGGTATTGCAGACGTAGTTACGGTGCTGTTCCCTCATTCCCTGAGGCTTGCTATACAGGGTGTATAAAAAAAAGGTAATCGAACTTCAGCGCGCTATTGTATCTGAATTACTCTGCGTATGAACGTGATTTTTTCACATTCGGAAGATCATGCTTTTAGCTGTTGAATGATATCTTCTCCATGCCCAATAAAAAATGAGCAAATACGAATCCGATAAAAAATGTTAGTCAGAATCGCATATTTTCATCGTTGAGAGTTGGGTCTAAAACCATTGAAAATGAACCCCCTTTAGGACTTAAGTTGATGAATTTCACTTCATTAAACTGCACACATATTCATAATAATTATTAAGTCGGAATAAATCTTAGCTAAGCTACGACACGTTCGTGATTAATTTCTTTTTCTTTTGTTATGCATTGTTTTAATTAGGCACAGAGGTGAAAATATGCGATTCTGACTAACATTTTTAATCGGCCTCGTACATGCTTATTTTTTCTCCACTTGTCATGAAACGCATGTCATTCAATAGCTAAAAGCCTGATCTTTCCGAATATGAAAATCAATTGTTCATACGCCAAGTAATTCACGTATAATAGCGCGCTGAAGTTCGATTACCTTTTTTTTATACACCCTGTACAGTATGTTGAGGGTAAAACCAAGGTTGGCTAACATCACAGTGCTTGGATAGTAATGTAAGTAAAGCGTTCTTCGAGGCTTTTTCTCCTAGTCTTTGAGTTTTCTTCATTTTCATAGAAATGAACCTTATCGGACTTGTAGGAAAATATGTAATTGTCCAATAGCTATCGATAGCTACGTGAAACGTGTAACCACGATGAATAATGATTTATTTATATTTAATGAAGTTGAGACAAGGGATTTGTGCTCGGTGAGGTACAGTTTAACATCAAACAAAAATCTTCTATATTGCAGCTTTGAAATTTACAGGGCTTCTAGAAAACCATATCTTGACAAACTCTGCATGGTGTGATACACCGATATCATAATTATAATAATGAATTTATTAACAAAAAGAGAATTCAGTAAAAACTCACAGCTTTGATGAAAGTTGATAAGTAATATGGAACATCAGATTCTTCATTTTCTAATGGTTGAAGAGCAATTCGAATGTGATAAAAATTTCCTTTATATGCTGCTTCCTGCAAAACATTAGTACAAAACATTTTCAGACTCATAATTGTAGAACAGATGTAAAACATACTGGGCCCAATTTATGTGTATTATAACGGTCGGTATTCGGCTATTTGCCGCACAAAAAAGAGGTATTCAGTTTGAGTTTTGCATCTTACGTTTTTGGTAAGAAAGATACTTCAGTATACTCAAAATATGGAATGCTTCTGTGAAGAAGAATGAGAATTTTGCTTTATAGGATGTTTTCATGTAATCATGTATCAACAATAAATCAAGTGCTGTAACTGGTCAGTACTTATATATCGGACAATTGCAGTTCTTGCATTTCAAGAGGCGGGATCGCTCTCGCGCGCTTCAGCTCCCTTATCTCGAATATATGTACATGGTATAATAGTTCATTCAAAATATTTGTGTGTGTGTTTTGATGTTATGTACTCAGATGAATATAATGTTTTTGATGTTACTCTGAGTGTATATTCACACCGGGCAGGCTGGAAAGTTAGCCTGACCACGGTGGGAATTGAACCCGCGACCTTTGGGATACTAGTCCAATGCTCTGCCAATTGAGCTACGAGGCCAAGTCTGTTCGAGTGTGTGGTATTTCGGAACTAAGTCTAGTACCTTCGATACCAATGTGTTCTATGATCATGACATGTACTCAGAGTAACATAAAAAACATTATATTCACCTGAATACATAACATCAAAACACACATGCACAAACAAAAATATCATGATCATAGAGCACATTGGTATCGAAGGTTTAGTAACTAGACTTAGTTCCGAAATACCACACACTCGAACAGATTTGACCTCGTAGCTCAGTTGGCAGAGCATTGGACTTAGTCCTTACAACACTCCCTATCCAATCACAATCTCTGCCGGACTATGGAAAACAACCGCCGCTTCAACGTCTCTAAGTGCAAAGTTCTCAGCATCACCAGAAACAAAAATTCTATCATTCATGCATGACTACACTCTTGGGAGCCAAAACCTGACTCGAGTAGATAGCGAAAAAGATCTTGGAATTATCACCACATCAAAACTTTCCTGGGACATTCACGCGAACACCATCGTCGCGAAGGAAAACAAAATGTTAGGCGTACTTAAAAGAACTTGTACCAAATTGATGGACATGAAAGCCAGACGAACTTTATATTTACCGTTGGTCAAGTCCCAGCTGTGTTATGCTACAGAGGTATGGTCGCCGGTTAACAGCGTCCAGATTTCAAGACGTGTTGAAAAAGTGCAAAGAAGAGCGAAAAGGTGGATAACAATGACAAAGCGAGGCGAACTGTCGTACAGAGAACGGTTATTAGCATTAGATATGCAACCATTAACCTATGATCGAGAAGTCAGAGACTTGGTGTATCTCTTCAAATCATTGTTTAGTTACATTGACGTCAACATCGATAACTATGTGTCGTTTGTGAGTCATGGTCGTACTAGACTGAGCGATACGTCAAGATATATCCTTCAAAGTAAACTCTGTAAAACTAACATTTTCCAGTCTTCATACTACAATCGTGTTGTAAAGATTTGGAACGAAAGAAGTCTAACCTGACATTTTCCGTAATCCAAACTCGTTTAAACACTATCTTAAACGTAGATACTCTACATTAATTAGTAATGTTTATCACGTAGACATGGCTTGTACGTGGTCATTAACGCGTGACTGTCCATGCCATAGGACACTACTTAATACCAATGTAATATATACATGTATGTGTATATTTAATTAACCATATCTAAACTAATTACGGGGAGCATTTTCTTATAGGCCTAATGACTGAAGTTCTTGGTCCATATATATCATTATAATGTACGTCATATAAAACATTTAACACATGCTAATGAACCAAAATAATGTGATCGAGCCCACCACAAACTACTGTACAGTACAGTATCTTTTATTTCCACATATTCGTCAAACTCGAGCATAATTTGAAACAAGATACTGAAGTAATCCCATACGTTAGCATACATAATTAGTGAAGATGAACAGTTATGTTGGTCAAAAAGTCCTCTTGTCGTTACTGATAATTTCACACGACTTCATTGCTATTTAATAGGTGCTTGTGCCGGCGTGGTTTTGGACGAAGAATAAACATGAAACTGCGAAAGAGATATACACTATACGTCAAATATAAAATGTCCCTAATAAGTGTCTGCTCATATGATACCGGCTAAACGAGATGGGACGTTGATTTCCCAAGCAGCCTGGTAAGGATGGGGCATTTTATGGACAAAATACACTGTTGAGTCAGTTAAGATATTGACATTGCTTGGCATGATGATTTTCAAGAAAACAGATATACGCATGTTTAGAGCAGAGTCTCATCCCGGCTAGCCAGAAATATGCCTGGATCTCTCCTAGGCTGTGTACAGACCATATTATTACGACCATATATAACAGGCCCTAAGAGCATCTGTTTAGAGAAACAAAATGATAGAGAAACAAAAAACCTGCAGCAAATTTTGAAATTCCTTTGATGCTAATTCATCATTGTCTTTATAAATTCCAAAGATTCCTTTAGTACTTCTTATGGTAATATGTCCTCTAAAATAAATTAATGTAAAAATATTCTGAGCAAAACGACATAAATTGTATGGTAAATGTGTTTTGCAGATAAAACTCGAGCGTAAATTTCTATACACTTTTAAACTTAACATTAAGGAGCAGTTGCGAAAACTGGAAGGCTGCAGGTCTAAAGTTGCATAAATATTTTTGCAACTGCTCCTGGTCAGGTTGAAAAGTGTACAGAAATTACTTTACGTTGGAAAATTCCATCTACAAAAAACCTATGATGATGATGCCTAAAATTTCGATTTTTACCCATAGATTAAAGCCAGGGTGTTAGCTAGCCCATATACTGTCCGTTTAACGGACTCTTCCCAATTGAAGTAGCTAAGGGGCTTTCCCAACTGGGTCTATTGGAAGATTTTCATTTTTTCTGATGAGAAAGTGCATTGCGTTTGATTTTATATTATTATATCAAAGAACGTTTTATTTACTTTTTCCCATTAACTATTTTCTATATTGGGTGCGTATTCACTGAAATGAAATGTACAAAACAAAGTGTAATCAGTGTGCATCCGTGTTTTTCAGTGTTCATTCACCGGAAATGAAATGTACAAAACCAAGCTACCGTTGTTTGCATCTAAGGAGAAACACGTTGAAAAAAAAACACTATTTATTCCTACACAAGGACTTTAATCGGTCAAAAAAACTTTCCCAATTTCCGTTTAACAGACAAAACTTTTTTTTCTGACTAACACCCTGAAAGCACTTCGGACATTTTAAGCAAAATTAAAGCACTTCGGACATTTTAAGCAACGACCAGATACGGATTGGCACCATCAGTGGCACTAGGCCATATACCAGGCTATATTTGTCATCACCCCCCGTAATATTATTCAATCAAGTTTCCTAATACTGTATGTATATACTAGTCTGTGATATACACTAGACTTTTGTCACGACCATATCGCATTCGCTTTTTACGACATCAACATATACTGTCAAGGAGTAATTTCTGCCCACAACATTTCCTCCTTGAACATGATCGTTTTATTTTGTCATATTATCGCAATTTTAAGTGTTATTCCTGTAACAGTTAAACTTGATGTTATGAGAAGCGAATCCGGTTACCACCTGTACTGGGGCCTAAAAACATACAAGTTAACTATCGTACTGTGTTTTAGTGTTGAAACAAATTCGCGACAGCTGCAAAACCTCTACCTACCTTTAACATTTTCTATTCAGAGAATCAGAGTTGTCAAATTTTCAGAAGTTTATTTTAGGTTCTATACTATATAAACAATGGAAGGCATGACACGTACCTTTCTCGAAAATCCAATGCCGATCCTGCAAGGGAAGAAAGCGATTATTTGAACAAATATCAGAATATACATTAAGTATTCAACAGCAAAATGTTTAGTAATCAATCATGGGAGATCTTTACAGTTATTTTATAAGAAAAAATGGTATCTAAGTCTCAACCTCAGCAACGCGCCAGCACGTAGCGCACACTCGTCGCGAGTAGTAAATAAACAGGCGTGTTCTCGCGTAGTATACTTGGCGCCAACACCAACCACGCAAAAAGAAGAAAAGTTTTGGGGTTTTTTTTTGGGGGGGGGGGGTTGCATGCATTCGTGATTCTATTTAATTTGGCAATTGAACACAATACTATATGCAATTAGCATATAAATTAGGGTTTGAATTTTCAAAAACAATGAATATTAATTCTTAATCTGCCTAATGATATCATGACAATTAACGCCATTATTAAAGATATAAACTAACTATAAATTACACACAATGGCTGGAATGACCACACAGAGATAAAATCTCCAATAACGGGGTTCCATTACATATACCTCATGTTTGCAATATCACATTTTGTTTCTTCTAGTTCTATTTGTAGCTAGTACTATTTATACTCATGCAGAGAAAAGCATGCACCGAGTTTGTTTACATTTTTGTCTGCTACTATTGGTTCATTTCTTGACAGTTGACCTTCGAAAGTCGAGAGCTTGGAAGGGGGCATAACATTTTTTAAAGACATGTGCGCAGGCTCACTCCCTTCATCTCAAGTGAGTCACTCGCAGGCTGGTGCTGCTGCCCCGCCATTATGCAAGAACTTATTACACATTACCATACCTGTTCCCACAGCATGTTCCACACTTAATGTTAAACCTTCCTTACTCATATCACTCTACATAGGAAACAGGAATATTGTTATTGTGAAATAGTGTAGCATACTATAGGGATGGTCTACAGTATCATAATTTAAGTGCTCAATAAACGAAGAAATCACTCCATGTCATAGAAAATCTGAGAATGTCAATCGATTCAAAACTGTCTTGAAAGTTAGTTACTATCTTAGATTTTTATTGCATTCATTGATATTAACCCCCTAGGTACACATAGATGTGATTCAAAACAGCCAAATTTGCATGATGAAGTAAAAAAGTCTCACAAAGTTAACAGGTTCAAATTTGACGAAGCAAAAGTCTGACAAAGTTAACAGGTTCAAAAATTCCAACACACTGGTGTTCAAAAGGAACCATTCAAGCTAAAAATCCAGATGAGCAGTATTTTTAGTTTGTGTTAACTTTAGTTTAATTAACATCTGTGCACCCATGGGGGTCTTAACTATAGAAGGCCATGTTACCACAGGCAAAAATGGAAAACACGGCAAGATAAAATGAATGTGGTTAATTCATCATTTATATGAAGCCATGTAGGTTGATGGAGTAGAATGTTACTTACAAAAAACAGACTTTCCTCCTTATTATATTGAATTTGGTAAAAGTGATATCCGTGACGTTTTTATCTTTAAATGAACAATCATGGATCTCGTGTTAGAAACAATATTTTACTCACTCCATTCGCTCGTTCGTAAAATATTGTTTGCAGAACTCGAAGATAAAAGTCATATCTTCCAGGGTTCGAATTGACGTTCAAAGAATGTGCCTAATTTTGTAGGCTGTTTTTATAGGTTTAAATTCTTGCCGGCCGTTTTCAAAGTTCATGAGTAAATTTAGTATACACGTGGATAACTGGAAGCAGGCCCTGCATTTGTAACGTCGTCTTAATTTGCGTCATTATATAACTACGACGTAAATGTACAAAATCAAATGCACTTAATATTTAGTTATTTTTGTACAAAAATATTTTGTTAACTTTGGTGCTATTATTGTCTTTCTCTGTTGAACTATACTGTACCTAAACGTTAAATAAACTACACATCGACCCAATAGTGCACTGAACATATCAGTGGGTGTGATGTTATTTTACCATACCAAATTAATACCAAATGCGTATGATAACAATTACGATTTTACCAACTAAAGTAATTTGACATTTAATAAATTTCATGATTAACTGACAAATTAATAGGTATATATTATAGGCATCTTTGCCACCTGAATATGGACAAGTTTATGAAATAACTGGTTTCATGTCAAAACATTGGACATACACGGATTGCGCCCACATTCCTGCGTCAATTTTAAAAATCACATGAATCTAGCAGCTAATTCCAGCACAGTTTCAAGCGGACCAATTATCAGACATCGCGGTCATCGCCATTCCTAAAACATCGATTAGAAATGTGTCGCATTCCTGAATGTTTTAAGGCCAAAACAATACATATTTTTTTCAAGTACAAAGAGCATCCTCGGTTTCGGTTATAATTATATAAACACAGAAATGAAAAGTATAACCATAATTTCAATTTGAAATATCAATTTGATTTAAGTTTAAACTTGAGTTTAAATAAAAAATCACTGGCAAAGTCCGTAGGATTTAAAGATTACCGGCAAGGTCATGAAACTGCCGGTTATTGCCGGCTGCTATTTCGAACCCTGTCTTCGCGCCGCCATGTACTATCCTCTATATATTGTGGGTAATTCACACGTACACACCCTGGACATTTAGAAACACTCCCAAAATCTAAATCCTAGCTACGATCACCCTCCTGTGTGCACCAGATTGAAAAGTTTTATTTTGTGCAGGAAATACTTTATCCTTGGAAGAATGCACAGAAATGTCATATATTTTCATATTCCCCCCCCAGGCAGCCGCCGAGCATTTGCAATCTTTTCTTTGCCGGTAGCCGGGCATTGGTACTTGCAAAGTTGTCCCGGTGGCGGGGAATTGTTTACCAACCGGGAATTTGCAATAAATAGGTCTGATAAAAAAAGTCCATGCCATACAACTGTATTTCGGTCATATATCAGATTGGTCTATGAGACAAAAGATTTTTTAATCTGTCATTTGATTGGTTGGTGGTAATTAGATTAATATACTATTGTTGTTGATATATTTTATAGTGATGAGACACAACTATAATTAGATTGTTGTTGTCATTGCATGTACTGTGAAACTTAAATTTCTCCTGTGACATTTTGATTAGATACTAAATATAAACTTTGCTAGCTGTGGATGGAAAGCGACTGGATTAAGGTTTGTGTCAGGCTATTATTTGTAAAACTAGAAAATACATGTATGCAGCAACCCCTCGCCTTTCTTAACAGCTGATGAAGTATAAAAACTCCACATAATAGGCTGTTGTGCGAAAAAGTGCTTACTAATAGAAAAGCAATTTCGTGGCAACCCCCTGGGGAATAGATTTTCTGTTCTTCAATTCATAGTACCATAGATGCTTGATTACCACAAAAAGTTCCCAAGCAAAAAACTTGCCAAACACTGAGAAAATAGGTGATCAGTGATTATCCTCTATTAAATTGTATTAGAGCAAGAAAATGTGAAATTTTGTATTGAATATTACAACAAAAATGACTTGCATCACCAGAAAGCTTACAAAAATCTACATATAGGAGGTTTAAACAATTTTTTATATCTCAAATTGTTTTCGAGTTTGTATACCATATCAAAAACGCGTTTTTGACCTAGTAGCCAGTCCTTATTGCGATATTTTACTCCAACTTTCACATTTAAAACAGCAATATCTCAAAGACTATTTGAAGAATAAAAAAACTGTTTAAAGTCTTATACAGTCGAACCTCTATTAAGCGGCCACCCTGGAGGATCGGCTTTGTGGCCGCCTAATAGAGGTAGCCGCTAAACAGAGGTATGCAAATAATAGACCCTGGGCGTAGTCAAATGTCTATTTTTAATTATAAATCACAGAATACAATATAGTGATTTTATCTTTAATTCCCAGTTTCATCTACTATAACATTTTTTCATAGGCATACAGTACATTGTGCCAACAACATGAGGCCATCACACTATAATATTTCACACTAAACCTTTTTTTGAACAAACATTAGGGACTATTGTAGCATAAATTTATTACAACAACACCAATATCATGGTTCTCATTACTTATATCTAAACCTAAAAATCCTGCTTAATAGAGGTAAAAAATGACATAAAACATCATTTGGGACCGCTCTTTGGGTGGCCGCAGCCGCTTAATAGAGGGATAGTTTATAGTATTTGTATTACAAAAATTTTGGGACATCGATATGTGGCCATTTAATAGAGGGTGGCCGCTTAATGGCCGTTTTTTGTACGCTTTCTGATGATGCGAGTCATTTTTGTTGTAATTGGAATGAATACAAAATTTCACATTTTCTTGCTGTGATACAATAGATGATTCCCCTTATTACGTTTTCGTAGCGCTTTGCATTGTGGTTATAGTGGTATCACTGATATTCAAGATGGCTTATTTTTTGTCCTTAGCCGTGCAAGAACTTTTAAAAAAAGCTAGGGCCATGTGCACGATAGTCAACAGCAAAATATTTGCGAAAACATTCAATATTTTCATTTGAGGCCCCTATCTTTATCAGTGATACCACTATTATAACCACAATGCAAAGCGCTATGAAAACGTAATAAGGGGAATCATCAATTCAATAGAGATAATCACTGATCACCCATTTTCTCGATGTTTGGCAAGTTTTCTGCTTGGGAACTTTTTGTGGTAATCGAGTATCTATGGTACTATGCATTGAACCACAGAAAATCTATTCCCCAGGGGGGTGCCACGAACCGTAATAATTTTGGCCAACAGCCCACAGCCTATAAAGTATTAAGACCATTATAAACAAACATAAAAAACACAACTGATGCACTAGCTTTATAATGAACGATAACATTCACTGCAATTCCATGCATACAAGCTTGCATCAAAGTGAATTATCAAGCTAAGAATGGCTTAAAAATTTTGCAGATATGAATAAAACCGACAACACAAACGTTTAAGCAAGTACGGCATGAAATTTTATTACTGAAATGTTTACACTTACCCAAATCGGCAAAACAATGATTAAATTATCAAAGACATCAACATCAAAACAATTATAATTATAATTATACAAACTTTGTTTAATTCACGGTTGAACAGCAACTAATTCATGAAACTGCAGGCTTATTTCCAGTTAAAATCAAGGAAAAAACTGTTTTGTACTTTTGTGAACTTTTTAACGAAATTTAAAACAAAAAATTGCTGTAAAACAGCAAAATACGTCCTTTCAAAATGAAAAACAATTACTTCAACAGAGTTTGTACTCGCGCATGCATATAACGTCGAAAATCGTCCATAACATAAACAAAATGGGGGACAACTTTGCACTCACATACCCGGGTATAATTAGCCGTGTGGAATTAGTACCCTTGCACAGTGCTTCGTGTTGCCGGCTCGGGGATAATGCACCTATCAATGTTAACCCCGAGGGGGTCGGGCAAAGGGTGGGGATTTGATCAATCAGTTTGTCCCGTGGGTCGGGATTTTGACTGGCACTTTTTTCTGAGTGGCCCGAGGGTGGGGATTTTTGACAGATTAACACTGATCTCAAACGAAATACTGAAGAGCTGATTTTTGAACAAACTGAAGACTGGGCACTAGTTCATAGCGCTTCCATATTGAAGGAAATTTCCTTTTCAAAGGAAGTTCTGGCTTTATGAAGGAAATGTGAAGGAAATTTCGGAAAAATAGAAAATTTGAAAGAATTTTCAAAATTTGCTGATAAAATCAAATAAGAACATGTTTTTAACCACTTTTTCGGCTATGATTTTGTGAAAGTTTACATAAAAATGGAACAAATTCTTAGTAAAGGAAATTTTAATATTTTTGAAGGAAATTTTAATCCAGATCAGGAAAAAATAAGGATTTTTTAATTTTTGAAAGTGGAAGCATTGGTCTCGCGTGTTGTTTTTGAGTTTTGACAAGAAATATGGAGATTTCTGGAGAAGCAGAGGTATTTATAACAAATCCATCGCCTTAACTTAGTTAAATATGTGCATCTGGTTATTATGTAAATGTGACTGTTCTATTTTAGTTTGGAATAATCTGTATTTTGATCTATTTTACTGTTTAAACATCAAAAACTCGCTGAATTTTCCAACGACAAAGTTTCATGTCACTCTGACATGTGATATTACTTTATAATACATTTTAATACACAACATATTGAGTTGTTTACATGTTTAAATATAAACGTTTAGGGTCAATTTCAGGTTAACATATTTTATATAACAGAGGTCACTTAGGGTCATTGGCCCTATTAAATATTGCGTTCATTTGATGTGTTTGGAGTGGAGTTCATGTTTAATGACATGGGG